GTTTTTCATACCTTGATGCAGCAGTTTATATGATAAAAGGGATTTTCAAAGGTAATTGAACCACACGCATATCAGATTTTATTCTTGAGAAGGAAATGGTGTTTTAATTAAGAGATAGCAGAAGTACCATGACTCCTTAAGTTGAACTCCCAAATGTTGTTGAGCGAAGGTCAATATCCCAACTGCAGCCTAGATCCAGAAAAATAACCCAGCTAATGACATGATTTTTTTCGCAAATAAAGTTTGAGCATATGAAGCACACGCTAAAAGAACAATGACCTCATGCTGATGTAATTGATTATTTATATGGATAAGTGCTTCAACAACTGCAACAGGGTTTGCTTCCATCCTATTTGAGCGTGCGCCTTCAAATTCCATCTCTTTGTAGTGCAGAGCCTTTGCAAATGCACGACACTGAAAAGAAGAGAGTAGGAAGAAAAAGATTTTTGTGCATGGCGTAGAGTGATAATTGTAAGCAGATTTCACAAAATTTCCTTCAGGAAAAGCCAACCTTTTCTGCAAGAGCACCAAGTAGACGGATATCTATAGGAAGGGGTCTTTCATCATGTTCCATAAACTCAGCCTGGAAAAGACATTTTGCATACTGATCAGCAGAAGCAAAAAGCAGCCACACTTTCAGAAAAGACTTTCACCTATGGTTTAGATTTCACTATCTACAACCATTTCAAGCGTTACTTTCATAAAAGTAAGCCCTTGTTTGAACCCCATTTTGGGGGAAAAAAACATTTTTCAATAATGCATTGATGGGAAATGTGTGATTAAAAAATGAGGACAAGTTTTGGATTTGAGTGTAATATTATTTTATAGAAGAATGTATGGTTGAAATACTGTCAAAACATTGTTTAAGAATGCATTTTCTTTCCCAAAGAATGGGGCTCAAACGAGGTTTAAATCATAAAACTAAAATTAACTTTTTTATCCATCAAAAGTTAACACAGCTTGACGAAGAAATCTTCGTGCCATCTGTACCCAGTGAATTTTTCCCAAGGCCATAACAACAAAACTGCATGCATTAAATTTGTTTGGTCCGAGTTGTCAAAATTCTCCAAATTCAAATTTATACCTGGTCTAGTCATCTACACCCACAATGTCAAGTGAACCAACCTAGGGAATAAAACTTTTCAATGAATAACTTCATACCCAATCCCCAAAACAGCAAATGTCCCCCTTTTCTGAAAGGCCATCCATGTGTGAAAATGTATAGAATTCTCCACTTAAGGTAAAAAATGAAAAGAAGCCATACCAAATTCAAGAGTGTCGCAAGTATTTCTGGAGGTATGTTCGGAGAGGAAAATGCCATTTCCAAACTTCGTACTAATTGTCGCTGGCTAGACTCGTGCAGGTGTGACCAGCAGCTAACAAAACCGGCTGCAAACAACTCCCTCCCAACAAAAGGCTGCAAAAGCACAATATTAAAAACCTGATAATAGGGAAACTGCAACTGCCTGTTGGATTGGGATTAATGGGTTTGGTGGAGAGGAAAGGATGGGGATAGAAATGGACAGCAAGATAAATGTAAGAATCCCTGATAGATACCTGCAGTTGTGCAAGTTTTTTACAAGTTCTTAAAGCCGGTGAAGGTGATTCCTTCAGAAGTTCAATGCTAAAATGCCTCATCCACTCTGACCAATCCTCTTTGGTACTGCGCTGAGAAGCTTCCCCAGCAGTCCGCAACCGAACATCGTTAACCTGTATGGAAATTGCACCAGCTACTTACTATTCCAGGTCTCTCTTTTATGAATAATGGAAAAAGAGAAGAACAAAAAAAACAAGTCGAACAATCTTATAGGGAACCAAATCATATGTTAATCATCTTAGTTAAAAATGAAAAAGAAAAACAAAAGACCACATTAACAATATTCAATTCACTGCGGTGATTTTAACTTTTCAATAGTTTTATCCAGTAAATGTATTATTGAGTTAAAAAATATATACATATACACACACACACACACACACACACACACACACACACACACACATATATATATGTGTGTGTGTGTGTGTGTGTGTGTGTGTGTTCATTCATTATCCATGCAATATTCTTTACATTTGTACTATTCAAGAGGTCTTCCAACACTGCTTTTTCAGAGCATATTTTAAGGAAGCATAAATATTCTTATTTTCTTGATGCATTTGAAAACTCCAAAAAAAAAGGTCCTGGGATGAATAATAGGCATAAAATACCGAGCTTTATCATTTTAGAAGTCATAAAAACGAATAACCGAGTAGTATACTGCGGTTGGAAAGCAATAATTGACTCAAAACAGCTCATAATCGTCAAATGGAATACTTTCTTGGGCAAGTCAGAATAGGTTATCCACAATGGCTCATTTACATAACTGTTTAAGCTATTCATAGGAATAAAAATAAATTACCTGGTGAGTTTTATGTTGTTTCTGCATGTCTGTTCCCCCCTCGCAATGATCGTTCTCTGTATCACTTAAAGGGTCACTAATAACTTCGACAGGAAGCCGCCGACTTAGTCTTTGAGCAGCTGTATTCCCCAAGATCAATGGCTTCCGTTTCTGCAAGCGACCTTGAATTTCTTCAAATTCCTTATGCTGGTAGACAGCAATGAAGTACATACATGGAAATTATTACAAATTACAAAAATTCAACAGATAGAAATGAAAGTGAGATGAAACATATTGAGACAAAAAAATACTCGTAGACGTTGCTTCAGCAAAAGTTTATGGATGGATGGGACGAAAATAGTGAAGTCCTCCCCAAGAGCATGAGCTAAACAACATAACGCATCAACAGCATCCATTTTAAGCTCATCACTTTTTCTGCAAACAGACACTTAGTAAAGTGCACGAAGTTGGGACAACTATGGCTGGTAGAATTCAGCTAATAGAGTTTTTAACAAAAAATTGCAATGACCTGTCGTGTGGTAAGTAGGAGATACAAAACTTTTTGTCTACCTTAAAAAAATCGTCTAATTATATCAAATGACTCCCTCTTTTATATTTACAGATGATCTGTGTTCTCATCCAAGGAATGAACCTTTTAGGGCATATAATTGTCATGAGTATTGATACCCAACACATCCCCATCCTTTAATACTTGTCAGGAGCTTGGAGAGCAATGAAACACTTTTCTATTTTAGCATTGTACATTGACCAAGCATCTCGGGATGATAAGAGTTCATGGAAGTATACCATCTAATGATCACAAATTGACATCTAATGCTCTTGCTAAAGAGTTCCATTCTCAGCTTCTCCTTAGACGAGGCAGATTTTCATATCAGCAGTCAAGCTTTAAAAGATGCACAACATGCTACGATAGCATTGTCTGTCTGATTTCCATACATTCTTCTGTTTTCAGTTTATGTAATCGAAAACACATTGTCCTCTATTATGTACTTCTTTCCTTCTAATAATTAATTCTTTTTCATCAAAAGAATATATAGTTAACCTATGAATTCTAAACGAATTTCTTTAATGCACACTTATATCAGTAGTCGGCTTCCATTGTGTGGAAATGTAAAAGAGCAAAGCAGTGTGCAGAAAGCAGACCACATGTGCCACCATCTAACACATTACTGTCAGTCGCTCAACATTGTTCCAAAAGAAAGTTGATCGAGTGCTAGTCAACTTTTTTAGGTGTGAAGTCTGACGACAAGATCTATGGTGTCCAAAGTCGTGTGTACTCAAAGGGAAGAGATTTTAAGTTTCTTTAAAGTGAGTTTCAAAATGCATTAGTGTTAAGGATCAAGAGAGGAATCTGACCCATCCAATACTAGTTTCAAGTGATGTACCAAAGCTGATATGTGACCTGTAACCTGGTGAATACAAAAAGAACAAAAATTGATGGATAATTTTAAATATATTTTTCTAATGCCTTCTAGTCAGACAAAAACTGATAAGAATTTCAATGCGGACCTGCACACAAGGAATTAATCTTGTCAGGGTTCTAATAGCAGCACGCCGCACATCTACTGAAGCATCCACTTTAAACAATCTAATAAATGCAGGAAGAAGTAGATGCATATGCTCATCCAATGTCCCTGCAGTGTTCAAGTTAGAGATTTCAAGCCATGTGATAAGATACTAATGAAGCACCCAGAATGCCCTAACAACAGATACTAACCACCAAAAACTTCAATAGTGTGAAGAATGTCAATGACATAAGTGTAGTCATTAAACCGCTCGGCATCATTGAGAACTTGAATGCAGGGTGGAAGAATAATAGGGAGATGAGCCCTAAATTCATCATTGAGTGCCAAGCAAAGTTGCTCAAGCAGATGCAGGATCTAATAACACAAGTCCAGAAAACCATAATATTATATCAATTGTCTGCATAATGTAATAATAAAACAACAATTAGTCAATATAGGGGTACCAAAGAAAAGCTCATTACCGGAGATCCATGGGCAGGTCGGTTAGCAGCAGGTGGACTAAAGGATGACCATAATTCTGCTATCAAAGAGAACAATTCTGGCAGATATTTACGGATATGCTGTACATGCACAAGAATCATTTATAAAGGATCTCAAAAGGAATGACTAACTATATGACAAAAAAAATCCACCATAAGTATGTAAGCACCTGGCGCACAATAGAAACCAAAGTTCCAAGCTTCCAAGTAATGTACTCCTTAAGACCATCATCACATGTACGAACCATATGAAAGAGATCAGGCAGAACCTGAAGATGGAATGAGTGTAGAGCAAAATTTCATTCAGTAAACAACATAAGAATGGGCATCTAGATTATCACTATGGCACTAGTCATCATTCAACTTTAAAATAGTTAAAATAAAGCGACTTTTAAAATTTCATAACCAAATCCCTGTATAATCCTAAACATAAGAAACTACTAAAAAGTGTCGAAAACTAGTTCAATTGCAACACAAGGTTGGATGACAGTGGCAACCCTGAGGGGTAGCTCAGTGGTCAGGTCTTGGGTTAACTCCCCAATGGTCACCAGTTCGAGTCCCCTCAGGCCACTGAGGTGAGTACTCAGTTGTAAATTTCAAGACCCCATAGGATTAGCCGAGGTGCACATAAACTGGCCCGGACACTCACGGTCATCAAAAAAAAAATGTTGAATGACAGTGGCAGAGCTAGAAAGTAGGCAGTTCCGCAGTGTTGCATAGAAGATACATCAAGAATTCGAATCTTTAACCAGGGGAGTGAAAGTAGATTGTGAATTTCATTTTGTCCAGCTAACGAGGCCATGCTTGTTCTTGACATGGATTGATACCCAACAATACCTTGGGAGCCAAGAGATATTGCCTCCCAAGAACTCGAGGACATACCATGATATGCATATATAGTAGACTAATCTTTTATAAGATCCATAAAATGGCAAGTTATTCATCCCAAATTCATTAGACAAGAATGTATTTGATGCATAAATTTCATTTTCATTTAGTTATCCTCGAATATTATGTTACCCGAACTTGGTGTGATGGTCTTATACCAGTCATCCACCTCCAGTCACCAATGAAGACTACATAATGAATACCTTTTCATATTAAACAAGTTGGTTTTTTTAGATACTTCACTTCAGACCTTTGAATCATGAAACTCAAGCCTTTAAAAAAATGAATTTTAGTAAAAGCATGTTCACATGATAAGCAATTCTTTCATGTTAGAAAAGGAAATATTGTATTATTATCATAGCAAGGAAATAGATACTGACCTTGGGCAAGTAAGGAACGCAGCCGAGACCCATTGACTTATCTCGCAGAAGAAATAAAACAATATTAAAATCCATGCACAATAGCATAAATAATCATAAAGAAAATATGACACGAGAAGTTGTTGGAAAAGAAACAGGAAGCGCTCCATAAGAATTATTGCTAATAGAACAAAAACAATCATCACTATAAGTTGATCCTTCCAAACATGGAACTAACCTTGAAAATGAACATGAGAGATCCAACAACCTTTTGATGGTAACTACATAGTGCAGGATCCCTAAGAATCCGCATGAGAGAACATATTGCAACCTGAATTAAACCGAGGTTTAAGAAAAAGCACTACTAGAGTCTTTGATTTCAAATTCAAGTCGATCTACTTGCTTAAAAAGTTAAGAGTTAAGATTCAAGTCTCACTGTGGAATAATAATCTTCGGACATTGCAAAAGATGGCCAAAGATCCATTGGTAGTTCATTCATTAACAAAATATGCTGACCAGGATCACTGGCTGCACGGCCAGCTTCACCATGGGACCCTGGCAAGCTTAGTAGATTGCGCTTTTGCATGTGGGGGTCTAAAGCACCCATTATCCCAAGAACCTATAAACCAACAAGCATGATTTGAAAAATATTATCCAAAAGAAAATCTAGATCATTCAGTTGATTTCAGGTACCTTCAAAACTTCCCGTCTTGTAGACCATGCAAGCTCACTATTAAGCAGTTTTAGAAGTAAACCAAGTAAATGTGGGTACTCATTATATGGAGTTATAACATACCTGTGAAACCATCCAAAAGAAGTTTTGTCAATACATTTTCTATCTTCAATGATTTTTTAATAATCATATAACAGTCTGTGAAGACTGTCCTACTCGACTATAGAAAGCTCTAGAGTAGTAGCTTCAACAAACAAATCAAGGTATTCATTGCTTTGTCTAATTGAAGAAAATATCAGAGCAGAAAAAGTTGCACAACTCATTAATAAAGTAACCATCAACCTCCAACACTCAAGGATTTAACAGAGAATAAATAAAAGAAAAACCATAAGAAAAAATGTATAAAAATAAAAATAAAAAAAATCAAAAGATATTCATACCCTGTGCTTTGTACCACTTGACCTAGAGTTGTAACAGCCACTTCACGTTTCGCAGCAGCAGCTCCATCTAATAACGCTTCAACAAGCATTGGCATAAGTTCTGGAATGTACTGCCGCATGGCAAAACCACCCTGAACATGGAAACGAAGAGAAGAGTGAAGATCGAACAACTTCTCTTCCATTCTCTCAAGCATGAACAAGAATGCCTTATAAGTCAATTCCACCAATAATCCACGGGTTAATCCAACAAACTTTTCTACATGAATCAAATTCCCCTGGTTAAAAGAAGTTATAGTGTTTAAGATGGAAGATATAGCCCAACCTTATGCATCCTTGATGGGTTGAAAAGAGAGAGGGGGCGATCAATCACTTTAAAATTGGAAAAGAATATAAAATGGTAAAGTCTTAGGAATACTCGTATATGCAGTTTTTACCTAAGCTCATTTGTGGTAGTCAAACTACGGCATCAAGAAATAAGAAACATTTCCATTCCCATCCCCCCCGATATTGCATAAATCTCATAAATTTACATAAAGGGGGGGGGGGGGGGGGGGGCCCCCCCATTCCAATTGATAATAAGAGGCAAATATATGTCGACAGTGAAGGACCTAACAGCTGTATCGAGTATAATGGACCTCAAATTACCAAAAGACAGTGAAACAGTATTTATATATTACAAACATCTTTAGCAAAAAGGGAGCACAGGTGATGCATATGTAACAAGAAACAAAAAAACCAACCAACGATTGATTTGCAAAAATTACATTTTACACATCCGAAAACAGTTTTAGGGCCATGTTAAACATATATAAAACAGAAACTTGTACAAAATTAGAAATAAGCTAGGGATCAAAGGTCTGTCTAAAGTAAAATACCAAATTAAATATTAAGTCAACCTTACATATTGACAAAGAGCACATTAAACGATAAAGGAGCAAAGAGACACCTACCACTCTGGCAAGATCCCCAACAGTTACAAGAACTCCACTTATAAGGCCATTATTAGCATTGACCCCAGTTCCTTCAGAGAGTTTTGCAGCAAGGGCCTGAAATGTTGGACAACTACATGAGTTAAATGTAATACTCCATAAAATTATGGGCAAGAAAGTAAATACTGAACCTTGTGTACTGGAGCAATGTATGGGAGTATTAGTCTCTCGCAGTTACGAATTAAGCAACCCAATAATTTTGCACTTTCTTCTCTACATTTGCTATCTGCACTGCTAACACAGACATTGATGCCAATAAATTACGTGCTAAAGAAATAGGAAGGCAAAGGGAAGAATAAAAACAGAACTATATTATCATAGCATATGAATAAAAGTATCCAAAAAGATTCAATAAATTAAAATCTTTCTACACCACCTTTGTTTTAGATAAGTTAACAGCTGAATCAGATGGCGTCGGAGTGCTGGAAGAACATACGCTGGATTTTTTTCAGATAGTCTTCCAGCCACAGAAATCGCCAACTCCCGAACTTCGAAATCCTAAAACAAGCAATAAAAAGTGCCAAAGTGCACATGGTGTAGCAAGAAAACAGAAAATGAGATTTAGACATCCTTCTTGAACACATAATTCGTGCACCTAAAAACTAAAACATTTTTATTATACTTTTAACTTTATTAAAAAGTACTTCTGTGGATCATTCTCTAGCCTGCCTTATAGTAAGGAAACTCTTCAGTCCACAAACCCAATTCAAAACTCAGTATTGTAACATTTGCACAAACTTGGTTTCAGAAATTGTGTGAAAATTAGGCGATGGACTTATGTTTTAGAAAAATATAAAATGAAGAGCACTATGATGGTATGACTAAGAATTCATAAAACGGCAAACTGAGGACCATGTTCCACTCTTTCAATTTTCCAACTGAGCTTCACATAATGATAAGCTGCAGAGTAATTTTCATTTTTTACCTTTTTCTTTGTGATTGTTCCCAAATTTTCTAGTTAATTATTTCTTCCAGGTTTACCATCTTTTTCTTTAAGATATAGCCCTTGTTTGAGCCCCATTTTTTTTTGGGTTAAAAACGTACTTTAAAATAGTGATTTTTTGGAGAATGTGGTTGAAAAATAAAGAAAAGTTTTCGATTTACGTATAATGCTTCAAGTCTCAAACTTCCATACCATACCCAAGTAACTGCATGTATTTAATATAGGTGTTACATGCCAAAGGTCAAACTTGGACAAAGATCTGAAACTCATAACTCAGAGTCAAACTTAAGATAACAAAGAATGAACATCTTAAGAACCACTTTGGTACCTCCTTTCTTCCAAAGGTACCCTTCCCACATCGAGCACAGTTCCACACTTCAAAAAATTAGAGAAATACCTCATCATTCAAAGCAGCAAAAATAGCAGTCAAACTATCAGCCTGAGCCAGAAATTCATCAAGTCCTCCATTCTCATGCAAAGAGGAAAATATGGACTTTCGAACAGCAACATCGGCATCAGCCACGGCTGAAATAAGAAGTTTTTCTACAATCTGCAATAAAAGAAGCAACCTTAACAAATCAGTGCAACATTTGTTAAATGGGCTATCTAATCATTAGCTCGTGTGCAGCGGCCAGTAAAGAGGAGGCGCAGCCCAAAATGAATATAGACAACATCTTTGCTTAAAGAGAGAGGACTGGATGAATCAATAGAAGACAAAACCAGGTTGAAGTGCTGCAGATTACAGTACCCTATCATGTTAACTCCTAGATCCTAACAAAAAAAAAAAAAAGAAAGAAAGAAAGAAAGAAAGAAACTCTCAGTGGGAATGTGTGGGCTATAGACTATTAGACCAAGAGTGAATGATTTTTTAGCAACAAAATATTATCTTGTTTGAGAAAGCTTAAATTATAATTCAAGTCAGTCAAACACAATCCACACATTCTATGAACCCACAACATATTACTCACTTTTTCCCCACATTCTGTCGCATGGTTAAATTATGATTCAGCACTCCCAAACAAGCTATTTATCAGCAAGAGTTAAAACCTAAAGTGGAATATATACAGTTTAGTTAGAAACAACCTCCTCAACAAGACGGCGGCGCTTTCCACCAGCACGACTGGTCCTACTGGAACCAAATGGCGCACAAGAGGCACCTGATAAGGAATTTCCCACTAATTTGCAGCAACACAAAGCAGCATCTTTGCGTGTGGCTCCATCCTCGTCTTCCAAATATACAACAACAGACTCTCTTGCAAACTCAAGAAGATCAAGACCCTAGTACATTAAAAGTTACAATATTAAGCGACAAGAAATAAAGCAGCAAAGTTGATAATTCAAACGGACATACCTTAAAATTGAACTGGGCAAGGGTTTGTAAAGCAAGTTGAACTGGAGCAGAACCACCAAGTTCTAATAATTGTAGACTGGCTGTTATGCTATTAGCCCGAGTAATAACAACAGACGACCTTGACTGAACATGATGGCGTCTAGAAAGAACTACTGAAATGCATTCAAGCAACCGTTCTTGAATGGTTGGAAGCAAAGATGGGATGCTGAAGCACCAGAAAAATCTTGAGGTCAGAGATCATGAATGCAAATGGACAAAGGAGGACGTATAAGAATGTTCAATCCCAAGCACCTGATACTTATTTGTTCGAGGGCTTCCACCAAGGTGAAAGATAAACCAACAGAAAACATTGCATCCAAGAGACTACGAACATAAGGCTCCATAGTGGGTCCCATTGCTTTCGCAATATTTCCAACACAAGCCAAAGCCTCAAGAGAGGGTCTTCCTCTACGAGGTGCAATCTACAAATAAAGCAGCAACATTCAGAAGAATAATCTATAATAGACAGATGCAAACAATACCAGTAAGTGTCATCGTGCAAACATATAGCCCAAAGAAGAACTAAGGTTGGGTACCACTAGTATTAACAAATGACCTAGCCAGCCTAGCATACCGCATCACGCAAGTGAGACGTTATTGTCGGCAAATAGTTGATAAGTTCACCATCCAAAGCACCAGCCATCTCACCAAGAGCAATGAACCCACTAGCAGATTCTGCAGGTATTTTAAGAACGTGAAGTATATGCTTCATGCAAATCTGCAAAAGAAAAGGTCATAAGCTAAATATTGAAGCAGACTGAAGATAAAAATAAATAAATAAATAATAAATAATTTATAATAGACAAAAATAAATGATTTATTAAGGAAACCAAAAACTAAATCTCACAAACCGTCAGATAGTTTGTCACAAAACGGTCACGGAGGAAATGTGCAATTCGAGGAAGCAAAGAAGTTATGCTGAGACGAACAAGCCGGTCCCGGTGCTCTAGATATCGCAGAACAATTTCTGCAACTTCTCTGTATCTAGACATCATGAATTCGCCTGTGTTCCTGCCCAGTTAGATAACAAATTGTACTCCCAGTTAATGATAAATCACTATGATAGAAAATTTATGAGCATGCTAAACATTGGATGCGCAAAAATTGCATAATGTAGTTTGATGAATTGGCTAAGCTTCAGCTTTCATGGTCTGAAGAAAGCATAAACATATACCACCGAAAATGAACTTGTAAGAGATTAATCCTATCATTAATATTGGCTTTGTCACTTAAAATTCCGAGGTGCCAATAAGACCTAACCTAATTGACAAAGTTAAGGCCATGGAACAAGGTTCAAGTCCTTGAATATTTGACTTCAAGGAACACTGAACCTAGAAAGAGGCAGAGGAAAGGATGGAACGAACTGCCATAGACAAACTTGAATGAGCAAAGGGAAATAATTAATAAATTTATTCAAGAACTTGCTTAAGATTGACAAAATTTTGAAACAGGATCATAACTTGTGGATCTAATTAACTTAGTGTCTGATCTAATTAACTTAGCGTCTCAGTGTACCTCAGTAGTTCTCCAACTGCCAGTAGAGAACCATGTATGCTATGAACTGGGGCATTTTTGCCCAGTCCATCTTGTGTCGCCTCAAACATGCGATAATACCTGAAAACAGAAAGATTAAGCAAACAGTAGTCCAAGACAAGAAGTACATGCTAACAATTCATAGGTGCTAAAAAGAAGCAAAAAAAATTTGACCAAAGCATAGATCAATATTTTCCATTTCATCAAGAATCTTAGAGCTAATATAGTCAATTAAGCTTTCATACTGAACATCAATATAATGCAGCATCAGAAGCATTAAAAAATATGAAATAACAGGAATCTAACATTTCAACTCGAATCACATTTGAACAATTGATTTTTAATATCTTACCAACATGCCTTCTATTTAAAATCTTAAGTCTCTAAACAATTCCTTGTTCTAAATCTTGAGCTCTTTTCTTGACAATTTCATTTTGTATATGAAATAATACTTCCATCCCAGAATATTGCTTTCCTTCACCAATTATGAAAACCTAGTCTAAATGTGTGTTCAACAAAGCTTAATTTTTTTAAGCGGGTCAAACAAACTTTTTGTTTACACAGTTCATAAGACCCACAACTTACTACTCATTTATTATCCACATGTTCCACAAGACAGAAAACTCATAAGCACTTAAAAGTATGACCATGCAAACATTAAATCTCTCTATCACATTTTTCCAACTCTGAAATGAATCAAACAGCATTTGATAGCAGAAATATCTAGTGTAACTGTAAAGTGATATAACACAAATCTTGCTCCCAACTCAAGACTAACCTTCGAGAAAATTCACGCCATCTCCAAAAATTTATCCAGTGTACCACACACAGCAATTTCCCAAAATCGCACCAGATAAGCTTGCATTGCACAAGAAACTTTCTTAATCCCCATTCTTTAACAAACCATCTACATATCTCAAGCTTTTGGGTAATCTAGAAGTTGGGAATTTTACATGCCAAAACCTGAACACGTTAAAATTCCTCCTACAGACCAACAGAACAACAAACGACACTTGACTCTATTAGCTCCACCAGAACATCATCTCTCTCATTGGCCATATCTGGGCCTTACAAACCTGAATACCACCATAAACCAAATGATGATTCTAGTTTCATAGACAACATGAATTTACTAACTAGTTCTTCAGTTACCTTAACTGACCTCCCATCCCATAGTCTTAGAAATGGTCCAGGCCTTCCTAGCAAAGGTAAAGCAACTCACTCCCCAGATTTGTTCTCCATGCTCGTAACAAACTAGTCTAACAATTCTTTCCTTGTTTCAGCCCTCTCATATTCCAACTCAGTGTGTCATTTTCCTCACTCAAGCTCTACGCAACTTGGGAGCTAATTCCTCCATCATAATTAACCCCAAAATGAAAATTTCTGTACTCTTTTGACCCTCTCTTAGAAAAGAGTAAGAACTTTGGTTGGAAACAACATAAGCAAAGCACAAGAACAGGAAGATAGGTGAGACATGTCTAATACTCGAGTGACACACTCAAAACATCTTTGAGATGCGGGTACCGCACGAGCCTTAAAGTAATTACGTGTTCACATAAAATGTTTCTTTTCAATGTTTATTGGAACTATTTTCATATTATGAACCTAAACTTACCACTGAACACGCCAACGAGTCTCACGCTTTTCGATAACCCATAGACAAGCTCGCAATGCGTCCACAGCATGCTCTCGAACATCCTGCTTTGGATCCCTCAATGCAACCCAGATTGCATCTACAAACTCAGGTACGTGAACATTGAAAACTGTTGAAGCATTCTCAGCCATTTCCTACAACCATCATTAAGGATAACCACAGATCATGCAAGGCAACAAAATTTTCCATCAAACAATAATCTCTGTTAAAAAGACTGGAAAACTATAATACTTCCACAATTATACCATACTTGATGCTTCTATAGAATGAGTTTTCCCCTCGAGTCATGAATATATTAATCATAGGGGAAGGGGTAACTGAGTGAAGACCTAAATGTGAGTGCAAGCTTTAGTAACCCCAAGAGTAAAAGACACCGAGGTGGACGAGAACTGTGTAAAAATGAGCATAGAAAACAAGCACAGAGAAATAGGACACATATATTCCCCAAAATAATAACATTGTCTAACTTGGCATATTTCCATGCAGATCAGGACTCCAAAACTTTTCTAGCTAGCTAGATTAGTGATAGTCGTGGGAGGAAAAATTGTGAACTTACTTTTAATATCAAAACAGCAGCAAAACGACGATATTCAATTCTATCACCCTGAAGCCATTCCAGTGCAAGGTTCACCTGCAAAGACGAGTAGAATGCCTTTGTAAAATAAAAGACCATCATGCTTAAAAACACAGCAAATTTTCAACATACCAGGCGTTCTACTTCATCAGCAGTCATTGCCCCACCAGCTCTAGCCAAGTGACCCAAAACTTTACTTGCAAGAACCAAAAGGTCAGGTTCTCGCTTTGCCTCAAAAGAAGTTCGCATGTAATTTGCAATTTTAGCAACCTTTACAGCATTTTCCCCAACTGTAACATCTATCAGCTCATCAATAGCCCTCAGAGCACCCATATTTTCAGCGACTTCATTGCTCTCTAAGAGACTAGTAATGCGATCATACAGCAGATCCATAAAACGGGAAAATGCTTCACTACTGAGATCGCGAGCATGTTCATCCACATGCCTCCTCAAAGCTAATGCAGCCCCATCCTATGCATAGGATAAGCCCGAACGACACTAGTGAATTACTGGTTAAACAATGATCAGAAATTCAAGATACTCTAAACAAAAAATCTAATACCATGAAATATTGATATCCTATTAGTATTCAATGAGAGATTTAAAGAAAATTGCAGTCTTTCTAATCATTTGCTAACTTAAATAAAAAAACAATTTTTTCATTCACACATTTTTTGAAAAACAAAGGGAATGTTGACAATGATGTAATCTAAAAATGTACAAATGGCAAAATCCTAATATGTAAATTGGCTGGCTCATTGGGGTAATTTATTAGGGGAAATATGATAACTACAATAGTATAAGATAATCCAAGACAATGTTTTCAAAAATATCAATTTTTGAGAAACATTAGATAAATCAAGGCGTGAGTTACTATTTTCAAAAAACAGAAAATGATAATAATAATAAAAATAATGGGTTTATATAAGATGAGGAATGTGATTATATTGCTGATTCTACAAGGATAATGTGATATAAGTAATTTTTTTCTTATCATATTTCACCTTAAAATTGAGCAAGATGGTAAAATCTCTCCATTCAAAGGTCCGTGACAAATAAAGTAAGTAAAAACTTGTTTCCAATAATTCATATTTTTCTTAAGTGTACTAAAGTGACAACAAACAATATACATGACACAATAGAAAGTCATTTAGATTTCATTCACAATAACAATTTGCAACTTAAATGTCCAATCGACAATTTGAATACACAACTTTTTTCCCATACACTAGATAAATCATATGCCACAATTTTCACTTATCTGGTCGCACATGTTATCAAATTGACATAATTTCGAAGACAAAGCATGCAAAAAAACATTATTCATATTTCTAACAGATTTGAGGATGTGATATACTACACAATAAATCCATTTTGCACAAATTCGTCACAACTTTTTTGTAGAAGATGGAGTCATGAAAAATACAACCCCACATGACATATTGTCATCTTCTATTGAAGACAAAAAAT